GTACCAATATAACAAAAATTACAACACTATGAAAACTAATTTACACGTTTAATGCTCAAATTACCTAGGGGATACTTTACAGAACTTGGTAAAATAATAATGAAATTCAACTGGAAATGACAAAAAGAATCAGGGATAAAGAGGGAATAGTACTTTGAAACCTCATGCCAGATTATAAAGCAGCAGTCATCAAAACCATCTGGTAGTGGTTAAAGAATAGAGAGTTAGATCAATGGAACACTCTCGACAAAGGAGAATCCAAAACAATAGAATACAATAACCCAGTGTTTGATAAAGTGGAAAACCTAAGTTGCCTAGGAAAAACTCCTTATTTGACAAAAACTGCTGGGAAAACTGGAAAGTAGTCTGGGCAAAATTAGGCTAGACCAACACCTTACATCATATTTCTTAATACATGCTAAGTGGATATGCATTATTATATTATATTATGATAGTATATTATATTATAGTATAGTATTAAAGATTATACTATGAAAATTAGAAGAGAAACAGAACATGTAATGCACAGGTTTTTTGATTTTTTTCAACATATTGATCAGTTGTACAGACTTTTCCACTCAAAAAAATTCTGTTTGTTATATGAAATGCCTCTCTTAGAGAGGGAGGGGAAAGGATATTTGGGATGTAAGAATGATGATATAAGAAACAGAAGATAGCAATAAAAACTTATTTTTTAAAAAAAAAAGAAAGAGCACAGTGGATAGAGCACCGTCCCTGAAGTCAAGAGGACCTGAGTTCAAATGCAGCCTCAGACCAAACACTTGACACTTACCAGCTGTGTGACCCTGGGCAAGTCACTTAACCCCAATTGCCTTAAAAAAAAAGAAAAAAGAAAAGAAAAGAAGGAACATGGAGAATATGAGAGGTGCCATGGGCAATGGGCACAAAGATAAATAAGGCAACACTAAATAAGGATACATTGGGGTAAGTGGAGAGTACATGGACCAGTGTTCTAGATCCAGAGCTTGTTAGAGCTGGGAACCTCAGAGGCCACTAGTCTAACCCCCTTATTTTATAAAGAAAGCTGAGCGCCTGAAAGAGGAAGTAACTCAAAAATCAAATCAGTGTCCAAATCAGATCTTGAACCCAGATCTTCTGCTTCCATTTTCCCCCCAACATACTACATTGAGCCAATTTTGGCTCTGAACTTCTTTGTTGTAAAGGTCAAATGAGATAACATGGTAGGTCATGGGAAATGAGTAAACTGAGTAACTTCGACGTTTGGGTGTTTGAGGGAGTATCAATATATGTGCTGAAGTCTCCCCAGTGTGAAGGTAGAAATTGGGGAAGAGAGAGAGACATGAGCCAAGCACTGAACTCATTGAAAGAGGAAGGAGAGTGTCCCAGAGGTCAAAAGACAACAACTACCAGAATCTTAATTGGGTAATAGATATGGATTGAATGAACCCCAAAGGAGGAAAGGTTACTGAGCAATGATAGTAGAGGGAGAGCCTAAAAGTGCCAATGAGTGACAAGAAGTATTCCAACTCCCTCTCTAGGCCAGTGAGTGGAACAGGTAGGAAAAGGTATTAGTGAAAGTATAAACAGTATTGGGAAGGGTACCCTGGGAAGCTATATTATCGGGAAGAAGTCAGGTCTCAGTGAGGGCAAAAAGATGGAGGGAGTAAGAAAGGAAAAGGTTTAAGATGAAAGCTAGTTTCTTACCTATGGAGCAAGCATAATTTAAGGGCGAGTAGCTTTAGAGTGGATCACTGTGGGGAAAGGGTGGGGTGAAGAGGATGAGAATAAGGGAATGTTCAGTGAGGAGTAGAGAATGGGGTTTGAACAGTGACAAACGGTTTGGAATCATTGGAATGGGAAGGATATGATGAGGTGGGAGTAGATTAATCATTGAGGAACGAGTTCAGGTAGGTCATCGTCTATTGGGTTGTCCCTGGGTGACAAGCAATTTAGTGTAGTTGAAAAGCTGCAGCTGGGAGGAGCGGGGCTGACATGAGGGTTGGGTGAAGGGCTGGGGCAGGAGCAGGAGCAGGAGCAAAACAACTGTTATGGAGTCATAGGAGGCCAGGGAGGGTGCTTGGAGAGTGACGGAATGGGTGCTTGGGGAGGCTAGGAAGTTCCTCTCCTTCCTCTAGGTACAAACAGTGTGACTATTATTAGCGTTATTTTTACTAGTTGTGTGACCCTAATCGAGTCACTTCCCCTTTCTGAGCCTGTTTCCTTCTCTATAAAATGAAATAGTTGGATTAGATGATCTCTGTGTTTCCTTCCGGCTCTAAATTCTGTGAACTATGATGTGGGTGGGGAAGACAAAAGCAGAATTTAACCACCACAACCAATCTAGGTACTGTGGGATGTCTGGAGCCTCCTCTGGCCATTCACTCACAAACTGCCCTGCGAACTTCATAGCTTGTCTTGACTATCACCATTGCTGGCTGCAGTGCTATGTTGCCTGTATACTCTTCTTGTTCAGCCCCTTTATGGACTCAGCTATGTTCCCTTCCCCCCCCCCCCACCCCTACTGGTTGGTAACAGGCACAAAGATAAAGCACAGGCTCTACCTTCAAGGAGGTCCCAGTCTAACTGGGGAAAGAAGGCATCCTCCAGGCAAGGGGCCTTACAAATAGTAAGTACTTAATATAAATTTATTGATTAGAAGATATGCACACAAATAATTCCTGTACCTGGAAGGGTAGGGAAAAACAGCCATTAAGAGAGGACAGACTTGCTGTGGATAGAGCACCAGCCCTGGGGTCACGAGGACCTGACTCGGGCCTCAGTCACTTGACATTTACTAGCGGTGTGACCCTGGACAAGTCATTTAACCTTGATTGCCTCAAAGGAAAAAAAAAAGAGAGAGGGCAGAGGACATTCAGAGGGCCAGAGAAGGGCTGGGATTGGCCCAGAAACAGAAGGCTTGCTGGAAAAGGTAGCTTGGAGTGAGACCTTGAAGGGACTCCTTAGATTCTTAACAGGAAGATACTGGGCTGAGGCACATCCAAGTCATAGGGCAAAGGGAAATTCAGAAGCTCAGAGAACTTAAAAGATTTGCTCAAGGTCATTCAGCTGGTTTGTCCAGGGTTCTTTCTGCAACATTCCATTTAATTCAAGTAAATAGTGAGTACCTACTATGTGCAAGTAGATAGTGAGCACTGCATTTCGGAGAGGAGGCTGCAGATCAAGTGTTAGTAAAAGGCATTAGGCACCTTAAGTTGAGTGTGTTCTTTTTCTTCTTTGTATTCCTGGCACCTAGCACGGTGCCTGGCAAATGGTATCAATCAATCAACCTACAAGCATTTATTAAGCCTACTATGTACCAGGCACCGTGCTAGGTGCAGGGGGTACAAAGACAAAAGAGAATACAATAAGTTTGTCCTCAAGACAATACACACACATACATATATATACATAAACACACACACACACAATTGGTGCAAAATGCCTGCTCCCTAGCTTTCATCGTAAACTTTTTACTCATTAGCATGTCCAGTAGGTAGTTGATGATACTGGGGAGTGAGGCTCAGGTCAGAAACAGGGCCTTCTATCTAGAGCTGGGCATCATCTGCATAAAGATGATAATAAAACCCATGTGAGCTGATGAAGTCACAGGAAGAGAAAGTCAAGAAGAGCCCAGGGCAGAGCCTGGGGAGACGCTCACAGCCGAGGGTGATATGGCTGAAGGTCCAGGAAGGGGGACCAAGAAGAAGCAGGCTGACCGGTGAGAGGAGAGGACAGGAGAGACCAGAGGGGGGTGGGGGGAGGAGACAGAGACAGAGAGGAGATGGAGAAACTCAGGGAGACCCAGAGAGGAGAGACAGACCCGGGGAGAGAAAACAGAGACACACACAGTGTGAGACAGAGAAAAAAGAGACACAGAGATGGGAAACAGAGAGGGGACGGAGGGAGAAGAGATATACACAGAGAGAAGACAGAGAAGAGAGACAGAGGAAAGGAGATGGAGAGGAGACAGAGAGACACACTGAGGGACAGAGAAAAGAGACACACAGAGGAGAGACACAGACGGGAGAGAAGACAGAGAGAGACAGAGAGGAGAGGAGATGGAGAGAAGACAGAGGAGAGACACACTGAGGGACAGAGAAGAGAGACACACAGAGGAGAGACACAGACGGGAGAGAAGACAGAGGAGAGACACTGAGGGACAGAGAAGAGAGAGAGACACAGACGGGAGAGAAGACAGAGGAGAGAGACACAGAGGGACAGAGAAGAGAGACACACAGACGAGAGACACACAAAGAGAGAGACACAGACGGGAGAGAAGACAGGGGAGAGAAGACAGAGGAGAGAGACACACAGAGGGGGGACGTAGACGGGAGAGAAGAGAGAAGAGAGACGGGGAGGACCGGGGAGGAGAAGCGCAGCACACACAGGATGGAGCCAGAGAGAGGAAGGGTCCCAGGAAGACCGAGGGCAGGCTGTCCAGACGAGCGTCCAGCAGCGTCCGAGGCCGCAGAGGTCAAGAAGGCTGAGGACGGAGAGAAGACGCCCGGCTCCGACCCGAGCGGCCCCGGACCGAGCAATTTCGGTTTGACCGAGGAGGCCTGAGAGAGAACGATGGTTCAACTTTAGTGAATTGAATGGAAAGGAATTGAAGAATGGAGGAAATGACGGCCATCTCCGAGGGCCGGCATGGTGGTCTGGGCGGGATCCCGAGAGGAAACGGGTCTGAGGGAACGAACCCCAGCCGGTCTCCCCTAAGGCCTTGGGCTCCCCAGCCCATAACCCTGCGCAGCCGGCTCGGAGCTACGCTCTATTGGCAGGGACCTATAGCATCAAGGCCTCGTCGCTTCGCTCCTCCCTCCCTTTCCGCCTGCCCCTCCTCCTCCTTCTCCCACACCAGGCCAGTCCGAGGCCTGGACTTTCTGTCCCACGGCAGCCACCATAGTGGGCGTTGGCACTTCCTTGGGGCGGAGAGACGGAGTGAAGGAAGGAGGGTTCAGCGAAGCGGTGTAGACATTGGGCCAGGCTCGCGAGGGTGGGCGGAGCCTAGAGGGAGAGGTCAAAGGGCAGTAAATAGTGGTGATGTCAGGCGGGCAAGATGGCGGAAGGGTGAGATCCCTATCCCGGCGCCGGGGCCCAGGGGCGGGCGGGGAGGCTGAGATGGAGGGCGGCATATGGAGGCCGGAGGGGGCCAGTCCGTGGCCTCTGGAGGCGAGACCGGGTCGGGCGAAGGGCACCCGGAGGAAGGAGGAGGAGAGAGATATTAGGGGGGAAGTCATAGTTGGGTTTAACGCCCCCCGTCTGCCCCGCCCACCCAGGTCCAGGCTCTGCCTGTCCTCCCCACCTCTCCTCCAGTGTTTCTTTTCCCCCCAGCCCTGGGGATATTCACGCCCCCCAACTATTCCTGCCCCCCCAAGGCAGGGGATATTCATCCTCCAATAGTTATTGCCCCCCCCAAGCCTCGGGTTCTTCACACCCCCCTCCAACTATTTTTACCTTCCTCTAAATCCTGGAGATATTCTTACATCCCAATACTTCTGATCTCCCAGTCCAAGGGACATTCCCCTGTCTGTACTCCTGTCACCTTAAATTCGGGGACTATTCCGCCCTCCAGTATTCCTGCCTTCCCGTGGCCAGGGTTTGTCCACCACCCCAGTATTCCTTTCCTCTCCAATTCCAGGAAATTCCTACCCTCAGGTATTCTCCTATTCCTGACCCCATTCCCCAAGTCCATGGAATGTCCACCCCTTGCTAAGTCTGTGGAATGATCACCACTCCCCTCCATTTCTGTTCCCTTTACCAAGTCCTCAGACTCTCCCCCCAGGTGTTCCTATCCCCCACCAAGACCCATGGAATATTCACCCCTACGATGTATCTCTTTCCCCCGTCCCACACTGTTCCTCTTTCCCAAGCATAGCATATGGAATGTTCCTCTCCTTGGTGTTCTTGTTCTCCCCCCCAGTGACAGTTCACAAGAGCATTTACACATACACTCAAACTAATCTCCCCTTAACCAATTCCTGTCTCCCTGTTCCCACTCCAGCTGTTTCCCCCACACTCTGTTTTTGTTTGTCCACACTCCCCCTAAACATCCCCCCCCTTACAGACATGAACATCAGGCCCAGGAATGATTTCCAGGCACCCAGCACCCAGCACCCACAGGCAACCCCATACATAACTACTCTCTGAACCCTTTTTGGAAACTGCTTCAGTGCCTTTGGAGTAGGGTGGGGTGGGGTGGGGTGGGAATTTACTTCTCAAACTTTATGTTTCCAAATTGATGTGCCTGTTTCCTCCACAGGGAGGATGGAGGCTGGTGGAGAAGCTGGCTGCAGCAGAGCTACCAGGTTGTCAAAGAGAAGGTAAATGGGGACCAGGGTTCCACACCCCTTCTAGACCATAATTGTGGAGAGACTTGGACACTCCCTTCCCTATTGGTAGGAAATTCTGGCCTAGTTATATGACATTTGTAGCAGATATTTATCTAGTGTTTTGAATCCAAAATCTTGCTTGATCCCCACAACAATCCTGTTAGGCGATGTGAGTATTGTTGGCCCCATTTTACAGAGGAAGAAGGAGTCTGAGAAAAGAAGTTACCTGCATATGATAACATGACTGGTAAATGGCAGGCCTTTGATTCTGCTTTGCCAAAGGTAATTAGGTGTATGACCATTTCCCTTTTCTGGGCCTCAGTTTCCTCATCTGTAAAATAAGGGTGTAGACTAGGGGTGTGTATGGGGGGGCACCTTAAAGCTCTGACAGTGTGTAATTCTATAAATTATGCAGGACCCAGTATGCTAAGCTATGGGGGATTCAAAGATCAATGATAGTCCTTACTCTCAACAAGATGACCATCTAGTTAGAGAAACAGCATAAAAATATACTGCGGTATGTGCCCAGGACCAGGTGTATGACAGAGCAGACAGTAAATACTGCAGGAGGGGAAAATGACGAAGGCTTGGGCCAATCGCCAAAGGCCTCTTGGAAGAGGTGAAGCTTGAGCTTGTTGTTGAACGTTGGGTGGGCTTCAGATTGGGAAAGAGAAATAAATAAGAAGAGCTTTCTAGGCAGGGACGTAGCAAAGGCAAAAAATCAGCAATGAACCTGGCATCGTCCTGGAATAGTCAGTGGGCCAATCTTTTTGGAGTGAACCATTTTGATAAAAGAATAGCAGGGAGTAATGGTTGGATAGGTGGAATTATAGGATTTAGAGCTGGGATTAGACCTTGTAGATCAGCTAGTCTATCCTCTCATTTTACAGAAGCCTAAGGAAGGGAAGAGACATGCCCAAGTCACATCACAGATAGGAAATAGCAGAGCTGAGATCTGAACCTACATTCTCTGACCCCAAATCCAGCTGCCTAGTGGAACCTAGGTGATTGAGTGGAGTGGAATAAGGAAGACCTGAGTTCAAATCTAGCCTCAGACACTTGACTAGCTGTGGGACCCTGGGCAAGTCACTTAAAGTCTCAGTTTCCTCAATTTAAAATGGGAATTACAATAGCATCTACCTCCTAGAATTGTAATGAGGATCAAATGAGATAATATTTGTAAAGTACTTATCACAGACCCTGGCACATAGTAGGAGCTACATAAATGTTTATTTTCTTCTTATTTCCATTTCTTGGAACTGTCATGTTATGCTTGGGATGCAAAGTGGCTCAATAATGTGTACACTAATGCCATTCCAAGATAATTTGTCAAAACTAACTTCTGAGTTGACTATAAAGCTAATTACTGTTTACCTAGGCAGGAGACAGGTAAGACCAGTTTTGTTTCTCCAGAACAGGCTTTACTTCCTGGGAGCCTGTAACTCTTAGTTTGATTAAGTCTTGGAAGCATTTGTAATTGGTAAAGCGACCTTTGGCTTTGATCCAGACACAGGCCTTGATCCTGTCCTGAGCTATTCCTGTGGTCTCTGGAGGAATGAATGATAGGATTTAACTTATAATAGGGGCCTCTGGGGTGCTTCCTTCCCATTTAAGGGCATTTGCTGGAGATTGAATGTGAAAAGCTGTAGTTCATTTCATCCAGCAGCATAGGGCCTCCTGTGGGGGTAGCACTGTTGGGTTGGTTATTAGCGTCTGATGTTGTCTCCTTTGACCCTGTCCTGAGAGGGGAGAACAGAGGGAAGGCGAGACCTGGTTCTTGTCCTCTACCCTTGAGGAAGGAGACACCAGGTCCATTTGGGGAGACAGAATGTATCCAGAGGGAAGAGGTCCTAGAAAACAAAGTAAAAATAGAGTGAATTTGGACAAGAAGATCTCCAGAATCCTTCTGGTCTGTGAAACAAATGTAAATTATTATAGCCTTACATAATTCCTAAGGGAAGGATGGAATAACAGAAATAAGTAGAACTTGTTAGAATTAGTCCTAGAAGGCTTCATGAAGGTTGAGTGCATGGAATCTGATTTGAAAAGGAAATATGTAGAAAGAGCAGAAGGGAGAGCTGGGAGATGAGAGCCTGAGGCGTGGCTGAAGGGAAGGGGAGGCCAGTATGATGTAGTGGGAAGACTCCCTGGGCTCCTTCCTGGCACTTAGCTTTGCCCGAAGGCTCAGTTACTACTAGTCACTTCTTAGCAAGTCTGTCCCCTTGTTCCTCCCCCCACCGCCAATCCAGTTGCCCATCCTATATGATCTTTATGTATGTCCTTCTATAACAGGACTATTTTAAGGATCAAAATAAAATGACGTATGTGAAAAATCATAAACAGCATAAAAATTCATATCATTATAATCATCATTGTCATTATTATTGGTTTGATTAGAGTATTGTTTCCGAGATGGGGTGTTTGATGGTAGAGAGACCTGAGATTCCTGATTGTAGGAATTTGGATTTTGATATGAGCCTAGAATTGTAATCTTTGGAAAACTGCCTGTGATATCTAAGTTCTAGATTGGAGTTTGGTTGGTGAGCTCAGTATTCAGATGCAGCAGGGCCTGGAGGAGGATGGAGACAGGGTTGAGGGAAAAGGGAGAGAAAAGTGGAGAGAGAGACCTAAAAGCATAAGAGATCCAGAGGTTGACCCTTGGTTTCCCACTCCCCACAGTCCACAGAAGCCCTGGAATTCATGAAACGGGACCTAACTGAATTCAGCCAGGTGGTACAGCACGACACAGCATGTACCATCGCAGCCACTGCCAGCGTGGTCAAAGAAAAGCTGACTGTGAGTATCTTCTTTGTGGGCAGAGCCAACTGCCCATCTCCCACCCACTGACCCCAAGGGCTTGGGAGAACTCATTGCTGTGTGTGACCTCAGGACCTGAGACTTCAGGACCTTCTTTGTTTCCTTGAAGCCGTTTGCTTATTCTCACCCTACTTTATTGTGGCCTTATGCCCCTGACTCCTCCTGTTTGCCACATGCCCTTTCTCTAGGAAATCCTTGGTCTTGTTGATAAGATATTGGGTGTTTGTTTATTTGTTTGTAGGCAAAATCTAGGCTTCTGTGTTGTGTGGAGGAGGACAGTTGGAGAGGCCTGGAACTGTACTTCCACCCCTCCCCCCCAGCAGCTGTGACCACTGTTCACCAGGCTTGCCTTGAAGTTAAACCAGTTGCTTGTGATTGGCTGGCTGGAAGCTCTTGCACAAACCCCTTGCCCAGCTCTGAGCCATGCATTTCCTATCCCTTGTTCTCTTATGCCCTTTTCTTTCCAGTCTTCGCAATCCCAGGGTCGTCACCAAGCCCCAGACAGAAGGGGTGACTAGTTCTGAATTGGCTTCCAGTACTCTCACTCTTTCTCTGCCTCCCACACACTCAGTCGCGATGTAGGTTTGAACCAAAACACCTCTTTTCCTCCATTGACTTCTCTGCAGAGTGAAGGTTCTTCAGGAGCAACAGAGAAGATGAAGAAAGGACTTTCTGACTTTCTTGGAGTGATCTCAGACACATTTGCTCCTTCCCCTGACAAAACCATCGATTATGATGTTGTCACCCTGATGGGCACACCTTCAGGAACCACTGAACTTTATGATAGTGCCAAGGTATGTGTCACGTGTGCCCCAGGAGCCCCATAGTCAGAGATCAGTCCGTGCCTAGTGGGACTAGCCCTGCAGCTAGGCTCTGTGGAGAGAGACACAAGAGAAACAAATGACCGTCTCCCTTTGGGTGTGCCCATAGAAGATGGGTCCATCTGACGGCTCTGATGACGATGTTCATGCCTCCCATTCCAATGGCCTTTCAAGATTTACAACATGCCACCCTCAAAGGCAAGGAGTAAAAGAATTATTATCTATTTTGCAGATGAGAAACTGCATCTGCCAGAGGTTAAATCACTTGCCAAAGATGGAGAGACATTGTTACTGACCTTAGGGAGTTCCTGATACAACAGGAAAACAGGCTGTACCCTGAAAAAGACCCCAGTGATAGTAATCACTGCTGACATTTCTATCTTACTTTGGTTTTTAAACCACTTTACGTGAGTTATCTCATTGACTCCCCAGAGCAGCGGTGGGAGGGAGGTACTCTTACCTCAATGGATTGGTGACGGCTCAGGGGTCAGCCGTCCCTCCATCAAGGAAGACCACAGCTCATCCTGGGCATTTCTTGTCCTCCATGGCCTCCTGTGGATCTTCTGCAGAGGACACACCCAACATGCTGGGGTCCCTTCTCCAGGCCAGAGGTTGGCGGACTACAGCTAGCTGGATTTAGCCCGTGAGCTAAGAATGTTTTTTACGTGTTTGAATTCAACAAAACCATTCTTAGCTTTCTGGCTGCACAGAAACAGGTGGCAGGCCACATTTGGCCACCAGTTGTAGTTTGCCAAGTACTCATTTTACTGATAAGGAAACTGAGTCTCAGAGAAATGAAATGGGTTCCCCAAGGCCACATAACTGGCAAGCAGGGGAGCCTGGATTCAAACCGATATGCCAAATATGAGTCCACTTCTTTTTCTCTTATATTAAGCTGGTTCTCCTTCATTCCCTATATCTAGTCACTCTCATGGTCACCCCTCCAGTAGAAACCCTGAAGACTACTTCTCTAGGTGATTGTAATAACCTGCTAACTGATGTTCTTGCTACTAATCTCTTCCATTTTGTCCTGCATATACAACTCAAGTCATTTCCCTAAAACATAGACCCCATTTCCTACCAAAAAAAAAAAAAAATCCAGCATCCTCATGCTGCCTTCAAGACCTTCCATTATCTAGTCCTAATCCACGTGTCTGACCTTATCACTCATTTCCCAAGAGAAGACTTCTGCTCTAAGCAATCTGGCCTTTTGAATTCCTTGTTGTGTCTCAACTCTGAGCTTTGGCCCAGGTTGTCTTGCCCCACCACACCCCATCCCACCTCCCTGCCCCCTCTGTGCTACAAAGCTGGCCTAGCCTTCGGGGCCCAACCCAAGGCCTACCCCTGCCAGAGCCACCACTGCGCTTTCCCTTTTCTGACTGCAAGAGCAGCTGGTTTGGGCCCTTTCAGCTCATGCTGTCTCATGTTGCTACTCACCAGTCTCAGTCATTCTTCTCCTGACCCAGCAAGACCATAAACAATAGGGGGCAGGAACTGTTTCCTACCAAGATGTAGTATGCTGTATGTAGAAAGAGCCCTAGACTTGGGAATCAAGAGCCTCTGCTTCTAACTGCCTGGGTTGGCCAAGTCACTTTTCTCTGGGCCTCAGTCTCTTCCACTGTAAAATGAGAGGGCTAGAGTGTCCCTTCCAGCTCTTAGAGTCAGTGGTTCTTTGAGTCTGTGCTTCTGTCTCCCAGTTTCCCCTGCAGTGGAAGGCCCTCAGTATCTCAGGACTAAAGGAGCAGCTTAATGCAGCTTTGGGGAATTGGTTAAGTTTTCATTTGCTTACTAATAACAAAGAAAAAACTTTGAATAATTCAGAATTACATAGATGCAGTTTGGCAATGTATTTTTTCTTTATTTATTGTTAGCCTGTTTCATAGGGTCATATATTTAAACCTGGAAGAGAGTTTTAGAAGTGAGGAAACATTTTACAGGTGAGGAAACTGTTGTAAGTGATTTGCTCAGGTTCGCACAGCTAGTAAATATCTGAGTCAGTATTTGAACTTGGGTCTTTCTGACACAGATGCTGTGTCATCTGGCCACCTCCAGGCAACTTTTTAGAATAAAATACTTTCTACACTGATCATGACTCCAGTAGCTCCTCATTCCCTGAAAGATAAAAATCCACACCCTTTATCCTGCCGTTCAGGTTAGATTCATTTTCTAAGGACATGCTGACTGTGCTGGGACAGATAAGCTGGTGGCATGTTAGGACCAGAACTTCCTCGCCAGGGGTGGGGAACCTGCAGCCTCAAGGCCACACGTGGCCTTCTAGGTCCGTGGGTATGCAGCCTTTTGACCGAGTCCGAGTTTTGCAGAATAAATCCTTTTATTAAGGGGATTTGTTCTGTGAGGTTTGGATGCAGTCTAGAGTCTATAGACTAAACCAAATCAAGGGCAGTGGCTCTGGCCCCCTGCTGTGTATGTTTCCATCCGCCCCGCTCGTCACTCAGGCAGTCAGTGACTTGAGGACATAGCTGATGTGAGTGATGGCTCCCTAGCTTGTCACTAAAAATTCCCCAAGGCTCATATGCTTAAAAATCAGTCCTTAAGGGGCTGCTAGGTGGCGCAGTGGATAGAGCTCTGGCCTTGGAGTCAGGAGGACCTGAGTTCAAATTCTGCCTCAGACACTTGACACTTACTAGCTGTGTGACCCTGGGCGAGTCACTTAAGCCCAGTTGCCTCATCAGAAAAAAAGAAAACATTCAGTGAAATAGGGGACTTCCAAGCATTCCTGAGGAAAAGACCAGAGCTGAATATAAAATTTGACTTTCAAATACAAGACTCAAGTGAAACTTGGAAGAGGTAAACAGGAAAGAGAAATCATAAGAGACTTATTAAGGTTGAACTGTTTACATTCCTGCAGGGAAAGATGATATTTGTAACTCATGAGACCTTTGTCAGTATTAGGGTAGGGGGAGGGGGAAAAAATTATATGTATGTATATATAGATAGATAGAGGGCACAGGGTGAGTTGAAGATGAAGGGGTGATATCTGGAAAATAAAATTAAGGGGTGAGAGGATTATACTGGGAGAAGGAGGAAGGGAGAGGTAGAATGGGATAAATTATCTCACATAAAACAGACAAGAAAAGGCTTTTATAGTGAAGGGGAAATGGGGGAAATTGAGAGGGAATGAGTGAATCTTATTCTCGTAGGATTTGACTTAATGAGGGAATAACATACACAATGGGGTATAGAAATCTGTCTTACCCTACAGGAAAATAAGGGGGGAAGGGGACAAGAGAGCAGGGGGTTGATAGAGCGGAGAGCAGATTGGGGGAGGGGATAATCAAAAGCAAACTCTTCTGAGGAGGGACAGGGTCAAAAGAGAGAATAGAATAAATGGGGGGTAGGATAGGATGAAGGGAAATTTACTTAGTTTTGCACAGCATGACTACTATGGAAGTGTTTTGGATGATTACACATCTATAACCTGTATTGAGATGCTTGCCTTTTCAATGAAGGTGGGTGGGGAGGGAGAAAGGGAGAAAGTTTGTAATCCAAAGTTTTAAAAACACATGTTAAAAATTTAAAAAAAAAAATCAGTCCTTAAGTCCCTCCTCCCCATCTTCAGCTTAACCTCTCTGAGGCTCACTTTCCTCATTTGTAACGTAAGGATAATAATTCAGGTGTAGCCCATCTAAAGACTTTCATTACTTCAAGGCTCTTATGATTTCACTGGTGTGGGGTCTCCTGATGCAGATCACAAAGCCTCCACACCTTGGTCAAGGATCTTCATGAATCTCTGGCTGAACAAGAGTCAGCCGCTGCTGACCAGCTTATCCTTTGATGACTGACCGAGCCCATGACCAGGCCCTTCCTGAAGCCTTTGCGGCCTCGTGGCACTGGCTTCTGAGCCAATCAGAGGCACACTGGTCCTCAGTTGGAAGAGCAGTTAGGAGTTTGTGCCCCAGGCACTTAGATGATGGGCTGGGCTTAGTCAGCTTGGTCAGGAAGACTTTGCTTGTGCTGGCTCCTGGGCAGCCTTCAGAACTGGTCGAGGCCATTATCCGGGTGGCTCTCAAATGTGCTGCCCATCACATATTACAAAGTACTTTTCCACAGCGGCCTTGGGAGATGAGCAATGGGAGCAGTATTGTTCTCATCCCCATTTCTCAGATGAGGGAACTGAGGCTCCGAGAGGTGAAGGGACTTACCCGAAGTGGTACTGCCAGGACTCAAGGGTAAAAGGTTGCATCTGCCTCACTCCACAGCCTTCCGCACTGACCTGGGGCCTCCCTTGGGAGCCAGGGAAAGCCTGCCAGAACTCTTTCATGTGCTTGGTGAAGAATGGAGTTTATGCCTTCTGAATGATGGGCTTCCAGAGGGAGCAGGAAGCAGACAGGCCCGGTGACTGGGGGACTGCTTCCTCCACAGGCGGGGCCCCAGGGAGGCAGGAGGGATCAGCCCCCTCCCCTCAGAGGCTTGTCTCACACTCTGTCTCTGTGCTTCTTTGTGTGTCTTGTGCCAGGCCCGTCTGTACAGCCTGCAGTCAGACCCAGCGACGTACTGCAACGAGCCCGATGGTAAGTGAAAGGTGAGGGGGGCGTGGAAGCCACAGGTCCCCCCATGCTCTAGGCTGTGGGGGTGTATAGGGATGGAGGAGCCAGTGTGCTGGATGGGACTGGCTTCCTGGGCCATGCTGGTGACCAGCTTTGCTGCTGCCAGTAGTGTTTCATGGCCCTGCTCACTGCCATGGAGCCCTTCATCAGAGTCCAGAAGGGACCCAGAGCAGTGGGGTAGGGTGAAAAGAGCAATGAACCTGAGTTTGGATCCTTGCTCAGTCTTTTACTATCCTTGTGACCTTTTACAGGTCATTTCCCTTCTCTGGGCCTCAGTTTGCTCATTTCTAAGAAGGAGTGATTTAGACTAGATGACCTCTCTGGTGCTGGTGCCTTCTCGCTCCTATAACCCTAGAGGTGATGCCAGCCAGCCCCTTCGTTTTGTGGAGGCGGGACACCCCATTAAAGCACCACCTCCTTCAGGAAACTTACTCCATTTCCTTCCTTTCCTGTTTTGCCCCAGCCCCCATGAACAAAAAAGACCTTTTTTGACCTCCTCTAGCCCTCCTTTGTTTGCAGCTCTCTGATACACTTAGCATCTAATCCTGTGTAATTTCTGGTTCTGTCTCCCCGCTTTACCGAAGGGGATCTTTAGTAAAATGTATGCTCTGTGAGGGCACAAATTCTTCATGCTGTGTTGTATCATCCTGTACTGTATATCTGTCCCTTGGCAGGGCCTCCAGAGCTGTTTGACACCTGGCTATCTCAATTCCATTTGGAGGAGAAAAAGGAAGAGATCTCCAATCTGCTCATCAGCAGCCCCTCCATCCGGGCTCTCTATACCAAGATGGTGAGGAGCCCTTTGGGCTGGGGCTGAGCATGGCCATCCCAGTGTCAGAGGCTCCTGGGCAGTTACTAGCAGAACTGACTGATCAGGTGTCAGGGAACCCGGGGGGGGGGGGGAGGGGGTGACTCGAACCAAGGTGCAGAACCATTGTGAGCAAGATTGATTCTGTTGCCTTTCATCCATTCAGCAAATGTTCAGCCCCTGTGTTCAGAGAGACTTGTTCTAGGTGTCAGGGGAGTCACAAAACGCAGGCCAGATATAGACCTTCTCCTGGAGCTCACAATCTAGTACAGGGACCTGTGGTTCACAGTATTAGGTGAGTGCATTAAGGAGTGTACGGGCAGCTAGATGGTGCAGTGGATAGCGCACCAGACCTGAAGTCAGGAGGACCTGAGTTCAAATCTGGCCTCAGACCAAACACTTGACATTTACTAGCTGTGTGACCCTGGGCAAGTCACTTAACCCCAACTGCCTAAAAATTTAAAAAAAAAAATTTATTGTTGCATTAAGGAGTGTAAAACACAGTGAAGTCTCAGATGGGCAGGAGAGGGGGGATCGAGGAAGGCTTCATATAGAAGACAGCATTTGAATTGGGCTTCAGACATTCTGCAGGCATTCAGAGGTGAGGAGGAAAGTATAGGGCACGTTGTGGGGAGAGTGAATCATTTTAGCTCCGCTGCCCATCTTTGACATCTTTGTTTTATGCCTCCTGAATGCACTTTTACATGAGGTAAAGCTGGAAATGGAACAATAAGCATATGTTGAAAGCTAAGGTGTGCCATATTTTAGAGGAACTTGAATATCAGATATGGGGTTTTGAACTTGACTCCATGAGAAGTAGGGAGCCAATGAAGGTGTGTGAGCAGAGGAGTAACACAATCTGGTATTTATGACAATGCCTGATTGGGAGCGAAAGGATTCCTCCAAGGGCCCGATGAAATTTCTTCTCTCCAAACAAAATGTTTGAGGGGTTCCACATTGTTTTAAAGCTTGCTGGCAGGTACTACTTGGTACCGACCAATTGGTAAGCCCAAAAGAATCTTGGCATTTCTTGAAGGCAGCCTCTTCCCCTGTGATATACATAGACTTTCACATTTCTCCAGGTCCCAGCAGCTGTTTCCCACTCAGAATTTTGGCACCGATACTTCTACAGGCTCCACCACTTAGAACAGGTATGCCCGTCCCTGCCTGTGAAGGGTGTGGACAGAGTGTTGGTGGGGTAGGGGGAATGGAAGAAAGGCATCTTGACCCCCTGTCTCTTCTTTTTCTCTAGGAGGAGGCCCGGAGGGATGCTTTGAAGCAGCGGGCAGAACAAAGTGTTTCTGAGGAGCCAGGCTGGGAGGAAGAGGAAGGTGAGTGAGGAAGGGCTGTTTGGCCAAATGTGCCACCCGTCCATGGTCACACAGACCGCTGGGAATTTTACTGGACTGAGGTTCTGTCATTCATTCATTCATTCATTCATTCATTCGTGAATATGCCAACGGTGTGAAGGGACATGAGCTGTCTATAAGTTTTAGATGAGGTGTGATCCCTAGCCTCAAGGAGTTTACATTTCCATAGGAGACAAGTAGACACGTGAAGAGATATTACATGATAAATGTATTTTTGAGGTGCCAAGTGCTGTTTGAGGTCTGAGGGCCAAATCTGTCACTGACTTCCTGGAGGGTACTGCGTTGGCGTTTGGCTTTAAAGAATATAGAGGAGCAGTGAGGTGGCGCCGTGGATGGAGCACCGACCCTGACGTCAGGAGGACCCGAGTTCAAATGCGGCCTCAGACCAAACACTTGACACTCACTAGCTGTGTGACCCCGGACAAGTCACCTAACCCCAATTGCCTGAAAACAAAATAAAAATAAAAAATAAAGAATGCATGGCAGTTAGCAGGGGAAGAAGAGGATGGACAGCTTCTCAAGAAGCTCTGATGGAGGAAGCATCACTAGAGCAGCTGTGGCCTCTGATGTCTGCCGTAGTCCATGCGGCTTGTGTTCGCCATGGGCTGGGGCCCTCTTCTGTCACAGCATTAACCCTTTTTCCCCTTTCCCATTCCCCCCACAGAGGGACCCTCAGTAACATCTCAGCTGGACGTGCAATCCCAAGAAGAGGAAAGAGCTGCTATGCCAGGCCCCGCTCCACCTGCTGAGGGTTTGGCCAGCCATCCTCAGAGTCCTTCTGAGGAGAGTGTGGGAATTGTGGCTACGCCCTCAGCAGAGGTCACCCCATCGGAGAGTAGCGAGAGTGTCTCTCTTGTGACCCAGGTGGTGAACCCTGCTTTTACACCTGAAGCCCCAGCACTGGTGCAGACAGCCCCTGCTAAGGACCTCTCCCAAAAGCTTTTGGAAGCCACTTTGGAAGACCAGGTTCCCCCAGCTGATGCAGGAGAGACGGGCCCACCTCCTGTGGAACGGCCCAAGCCTTCAACCCCCAGTGGGCGTCCAGGCGGCTCTGAACCCAAGCCAGGGATCAGAGTAGAGACTCTCAGAGAGGAGGGACCGGCAGACTTACGGGTGTTTGAATTGAACTCGGACAGTGGGAAGTCCACGCCTTCCAATAATGGGAAGAAAGGTGGGTCTTAAAGGTTGGAGCCTAGGAGGGAGTTGGAGGGGCAGAGGGAGTTGGGAGCGTCCTTGAAACATACTGACCCATCCTCCTTTATTCTGGTCAGGTTCTTAGGGGCAGATCCCAGCTGCTTCTTTCTTACTGACTTTTGGCCAGTTCTTACTGACCCTGGGCTGGAAGCAGTGATTTGGGAGCACCTGTGGTGGCAGTGTTAACAACTGAGGTGACACCATTGTAATGCTGGTATTAAAGGATAGGGTGAAGAAAGAAAAGGACTTAGCCAGGAGTCACCAGATCTCATGGTGTATTCATCTGGTGCTAGACAGTCCATGTGGGGAATCCAAGTCAGAACCAAGAGCTTCCAGGGCAGCTGAGAAGGCCAAAGTCTGTCTGTCTGTCTGTCTTCACACACACACACACAATACACACACACACACACACACACACACCCCAGTTAATGTGTGTATTATTCTAAATGCTACCCTGTAGTCTCTTATCACTCCCTAGCAGTACAACAGAAGTTAAATCCCTGCCAGCTCTAAAGCCTACCATGCTAAGTTCATAGAAGGAAGAGGTGATGTGGGAGTGAGAGTAATCATAACTCACATTTTGATAGCAATATAAGAATAATTGGGGAAAACTTCCTGGAGGGGTGAGGCTTGAGCTTTAAGAGTAGTGTAATTTGTTGAGAAGAGCCAAAGGTATTCTAGGCCGGAGGAATGTCCTGAGACAGAGAAGGGGGTGGGGGGCGCCTGAAGGCCACATGGGGGGGAACAGTGAAGAGCACCGCCCAGGAAAGGCAACAGCAAGCTAGAGGGGAAAGGACACGAGCCCAGGAGACAGGAGACAGAAGACTGGGGCTCCAGCCGCATCTATGGCACTGACTTAATAGGAGACCAGTCCCCTTTATGGGCCTGTTTTCTTCTGTGTAAACGGAGAGTGTTGGGCTGTGGCCGCAGGATCACAGGACTTCAGGCTTGGGAGCGACCTTGATAACTCTCTTATCCGCTCCTGGCTGGAAAAGGCTTTCCCTGTAGCAAGTGTTCATCCATGTGTGCTTGAGGACTTCTCATGAGGTTCCCAAAGCAGCCCAGCCCACTTTTGGATCAATCTTAGAATTAAGAAATTCTTTGAACCTCAGTTTTCCACTTTGCAATTTCTTTTCATCGTTCCTAGTCTACCTCCTAATGGGATAATGCGTTATAAGCACTTTGCAGACTTTAAAGCCCCATATAAATGCCTAGTGATCATTATTTTTAGTATTGTTGTTATTATTATTATGTTCTGGGAGGTGATGGTCCTTCAGATATTTGAAGACAGCTATCATGTCTGCAGAAGATATCTTCTCTTCCTTAAGCTAAACATCCTTAAGGAATGAACTTGTGGCCTCTAGGTGGTGCAGTGAATAGAGCACCTGTCCTGGAGTCAGAAGGACCAGAGTTCAAATACAGACTTAGACACTTACTAGCTGCATGACCCTGGGCAAATCACTTAACCCTGATTTCCTCAAAAAAAAAAAAAAGAAAATTAACTCAAGGCACCTCACCACCTTGGCTACTCTTTCTGGTTGCTTTTCTTTCTAAAACATGGCCACAGCAGAATACAGAATTACAGATATGGCTGCCCAGGGCAGAGTGAAGGGGGCGAAGGGCTTACCCCTTCCTCATTCCTGAGATGAGTCTTCTTGGCCACCTTCCTTCTCAAAGCTTTGTGAAGTTCTGAGAGCCTTGGCAGGCATTCAGGCAGTAAGCATTTAGGTGTACCAGGCACTGTGCTACGTGCTGGGGATACAATGACAAGCAAAAAGAAAGAGAATCGCTGCCCTCAGGGAACTTCTGTTCCAAGGTGGGGGGCAGGGAGACTTGGTGGAGTCTGGCTAAGTCAGCAGCACAGCCAGGATGAGGAGGAAGCAGGGCCAGCCTGGGCCCATCCCCTCATTGCAGGGTGGATGCCAGGGAGCAGTTAGAAAGCAAGGGGGACTCAGGGCCAGATTTTGGAAAGCTTTGACTGCCACACCAAGAAGCCTGGCTGCTGGAGAGCAAAGGCCTGACTTGTTTCTGGGCATTTGAAGAAGAGTGTTTTTGGGGTTGCTGACAGGGGAGATTGGAGGCAGGAAGAGTATGAGACATTGATGAAGGTGGGTTCAGTGGTAGTGTGGGGGTGGGAAGAAAAGTCTCTAAGATTGTTGTGGAGAGATGTGGGCAAGAAGGGAGGAGCTGAAAGTGATGGTATGTTGGAGTCATTTGAAATGGGTCAGCCCAAGACCTCTCTGTCCCAGGCCTCGGCAGGGACAGAGACTGGCCCGTCAGACAGGGTGGCTGGGTCTTCTCGGCTGCGCCACTTACTCACGGTGTCCCCATAGGGAAGCCACTTCAGTTTCTTCTTCTGTGGAATAGGTGTGAAGAGATCCGCCAGGGGTGCTGTCAGAATAAAATAAGCTGGGTTTGTTTTGTTTTTTTATTGCAACCCCATCCCCATGTACATAAGAGTGTAGCATTCAGGTGGCACCAGAGGACACAGCACTGGGCCTGGAGTCAGGAAGACCTGAGTTCAAATTTGGCCTCAGACCCTTAATAGCTGTGTGACCCTGAGCAGGTCACATCGGCCTGCCTCAGTTTCCTCATCTCTACAATCTCTACAATAGCACTCACCTCCCAGGGTTGTTGTAAAGATCAGATGACATATTTGTAAACCAGTCAGCACAGTGCCTGACACTTAGTATGCTTATTCCCTTTCCCCCACTAAGAGTGCGTTGTTTTCCTAGTCTCCACCTATTTCTGTCTCAAGGCTCGTGAGCTTACTGCCTTTACTTCCTCACCTGTGGATTGTGTGAGTGATGAGGCAGATTGCCATAAAAGAAAGAAGGCTGGATTTGGTGTCAGGAGATCCAGATCTGAATTCTGATGACCATTTGCTCACATTAAGCAAATTAATTCACTTCTCAGAGGTTCAGTTTCTTTATCAGAAAAACCAGAGTCTTGAAGTTAATGAAGGTTCTGTCTAGCCCTGAGTCTTTGATGATCCTGTGATAAAGACCTCTCAAAATCCTTTCCAGCTCTGATATTCAACAAACATTAAGTCTGTGTGCGAAGCCTAGTGGATACAAGCATAGCAAACATCTACTTGCCCTGCTCTTAAGGAACCTACAGTCTGATGAAAGAGGACCATTCCCCAGGTGACTCTGATCGAAAGGAGTGTAACTAGAGATTGAAGCAAAGTACTTGGAGAAATTGCTCCACGGAGAGAGGCTGCCTTCACCTTTGAGTGGGGAGATGGCGCCCTCGAGGGGCCTGGGAGGGAAGGCCGAGGAAAGTCCATTGCAGGCAGAATGAGAACGGGAGCAGGACAGAGCTGGTTTGGCTAGAACACGGAGGGCACCGAGGGAGGGCAGGACTGCTCGGGGAAGCTGCAGCCACGTCGTGGGGAGCCTTGAAGGCAAGTCAGGAGGTGAGGCTTTATTTAGCAGATAACAAGAAGCCAAAGGGGGGTGCTGAGCAAAGCACTGACATGAGTAGGATCAGTGTATTTGGAAGATTCCTCTGCAGTAATGTGAAGGATAGATTGGAGGAAGGGCCCAGAAAATAAGTTCTTTGAGGGGAGGCACTGTGCTTTTTAGCTTGATATCTTAAGCACAAGGCCTTGGCTGTCAAAACAAAAACCCACTTCCCACTTTCTCATATCCATCATCCCCTTCAGCCCTGTCTTTCTCTGGGCCCTTTCTTCTTCTGCCCTTATCTTCCATGACACCCTCTGGAATTTCCATTCTCTCATTAGAAACTTCCCTTCATCCTAGATTTTTCCTCTTCATCCTAGACCTTTTCCTTTCATATGACTTACATTTGCAGTCCTGGAAAGCTGGTTCTGTTCAGAAGACACTAAATCCCTGACCACCCTCAGCTGCATATGTGCTTCTTTTCTCATGTGCATCCACAGTGGAGGGACACACGGCCACTCTATCTGTATCAGAGTGGCTGCGTGCCAGTGTGTTGGCATAATGTGCCAAATTTGTGTTACATAATTGTAACTGGACCCTCACTGCTCTTTGGTAATCTTTTTGTCCTACCTTGATTCACTCACTCCCCAAGGTGGATTCTCCAAACCTTTTCTCCTCTCCTCAAGACCCTCATTCGGCCCATTCTCTTTGCTCCCTGCAGGCCTCAGCTCCTGCTTTGCTGATACAGTGGAAGCAACCCGGTCTGCCGTTCTGGACCAACTTGACATTTCTTCCCATTTCCCACTGCCATGTCTTTTTTTAGGCTCTTTTCTTACCTAAAATGCTCTTCCGCCTCACCTCTGCCCCTTAGAGTCCTTAGCTCCTCTTAGGGGTTCAGATGCCTCCTCTTCCTCAGAGCCTTTCCCCTTAGCCGTTAGTGCTCTCTCTCTCCCCTCCTCAAATGGTCCCTGGTTTATTTAGTTGTTGTAAGTTGTTTTACCTTCGCTAAAAGGGAAGGTCCTAGGGGGCAGGGACTGCTTTTCATTTTGTCTTTGTATCTCCTGCCTAACACAGGGACTGGCACATAGTAGGCAAATTAGTAAATGCTTGTTTGAATTGAATTGACTCCCCTTTTAGCTGCCTTTTTCTCCCCACTGCAGACCTCAGAGCCTCTTGACCTTGTTCTGTTCTCTTCTTTCTGGGATTCAGCCAAGGCTGCTACTTGGGCCCTTGATCCTGTTTCCTTTGAGAGTTTGCCCCTGTAGTGAATCTCTCATCTTTAACCTCTCCCTATTTCCTGACACTTTCCCTGCTGGCTACAAACATGTCTAAGTCTCCCCTGTCCATTCAGAATCCTTAAACTGCTGGCCTTTTTTCCTTTCACTGCCAAACTCCTAGGGGGAAAAAAAGGAAAAACCATCTACACTTAGCCACTTGTTCACCTCCTGCTCACCCTTTCTCAACCCCTGGCCTCCAACCCTATTTCTCAACTAAAACTGCTCTCTCCAAAGTTACCAATGATCATCATGATTACTGAATGCAGTGGCCTTTTCTCAGTTCTCCTTCTGTTTGTCCTTGGTATATCTCTTGATAGCAGGCATTTATTAAACACTTACTATGTGCCAGGCACTGTGTTAAGCACTGAGGATATAGAGAAAGACAAAAACAATCCCTCCCCTCCAGTAGGTCACATTCTTTTTTTTTTTTTTTTTTTGGTTAGGCAGTAGGGTTAAGTGACCTGCCCAGGGTCACACAGCTAGTTAAGTGTTATGTGTCTGAGGCCGGATTTGAACTCAGGTCCCTCCTGACTCCAGGGCCAGTGCTATATCCACTGTGCCACCTAGCAGCCCCTGTAGGTCACATTCTTAAGAGGCAGGCCTATGTGACTAGATGAAAGGTAATCCCAAAGGAAAGACACTAATAATAGCCAGCATTTCTGTAGTACTTTAATATTTTCAGAGTGCTTCACAAATACCTCATTTGATCTTCACAACAACTCTGGAAGGGAGGTGCTATCATTATCTCCATTTTACAGCCCTTCTGATGCTGAGAGAGGTTGGTGACTTGCCCAGGGTCACACAGCTAGTAACCATCTGAGGCAGGATTTGACCTTGGGTCTTCCCGATTCCGAAGACTCCTATGCCCCTAGTAGCTAGGGGAAACCAGGAAAGGCTTCCTCCAAAATATGGAATTTGAGCTGCCTTGGACAGGGAAGCCAGGAGGTAGGGGGTAAGGCATGGGGACAGCCAGTGAAAAGGCATGGAGTCCAGTCATAGTGTACTTTTTCAGAAATGGCAAGAAGGCATGTATGGTCTCCTATGGATTGTAGAGTATGGAGAGAGAGAACATCTAAGAAGACAAGAAGAGTAGGAAGAGGCCAGGTTGTAGCGCTTTAAGGGTCAAGTGGAAGGTTTTATATTTTATCCTGGAGGTGGGGAGTCATTGGAATTGACTGAGTGGGATGGTCAGCCCCATACTTTAGAAAAATCACTGTCGAAGCTGAGTAGAGAATGGATTGGAGTGAGGAAAGACTTGAGACAGGGAAACCAATTAGAAAGCTATTGTTATAATCCAGGAAAGAGATGATAAGGGCCTGAACTGTTGTGAAGGCTTAGTAGAGAGAAGGGGGTGTTGTAAAGGTGGAGATGATTAGAATCTTGTTTTGGACATGTTGAGTTTGAGATGCCTATTGGATATCCAGTTTGAGCTGTCCGAAAAGGCTAACACAGGACCCCCCAAAGCTCAGGAGATAGGCTGGAGAGAGAGGAGGAACCAGGGGAGAGCAGTATCCCAAGCACCCCTTTCCTCCTAGATGGTCTCCGCCTTTGTAGTATTATTCTCTTACCTCCCTGAGTGCTCCTTAGTCTCCTGTAACGGCTCACCCCCACCTCCTGCCCACTAATCATGGATGTTCTCCAAGGTTGTGTCCTGGGCTTTCTTATTTCTCTCTGCTTTCTCTTAGTGACTTTATCCTGTCCAGTGGACTTCATCATCATCTCTTTACAGATGACTCCCAAATCTCTAAATACAGCCAGAACGATCGTCTGCATCACCTGCTCGACATTTCCTTGGTGTCCCACTAGTATTGGAAACTCAGTATGTCCCAAAACAGAACTCGTTCTCTCCTCCCACTAAGCCTGTCTTCCTGCATCTTCCTCCAGAAACGTCCCTTTTGCTCTCCAGGCAGTGCCCTCCTTCTCCTCCTCCAGCTTCACATCCTGGGAGCCGTCCTTAACACTTCGCTTCCCCTCACTCTTTCTGACATTCAGTGGCCACGTCTTGTCGGTTCTCTCTCCATGCCATCTCTCTAGGCCACGCCCATCTGGTCACTGATTTGTCTTCTGAGTTGGCTGGGGCTCTTATCAGTTCTTGCCCAGACTATTGCACTGGCCTGCTAATCGGCCTCTGCTTCCCTACGATTCATTGCCATAGCTGCCAAAATCATCTCAAAGCATCATCCTGCCATAAGTTTGGAATCAGAGGATCAGCTGAAAGGCTGTAAGGGATCTCGGAGGCCATCTCGTCCAGCCTCCTCATTTTAAAAATGATGAAACTGTGGCCTGGAGAGGTTAAACAACGTTGCCCAAAGTCCTGGAGCTGAGGAAATGTCAGGGGTAGGATTTGAACCCATGTCCTGTGACTCCAGACCAAATGCTTGTTCCATTAAAGGACTTAGATTTTAATCCTAGCTTTGCTACTTACTACCTGTAGGACTTTGGCAACTTACTTAACTTCTCTGGCCCTCATTTTCCTAATTGATAAATGAAGGGATTGGATCTTTGGGACCCTTTTCAACTCTGCATCTGTGATCACCCTTCTGTTCAAAAACATGTACTAGCTGGCTCCCTGTCACCTCTGAAATACATTCCAAGCCTGCCATTGTCTGACTCCTGCTTGCCTCTCTGTCTTTTTTTTTCATGTGACCTTCCTTCACATACTCCACATTCAACTCAGATGACAATCCTGTGGTCACCCAAGCATGGTGTCATTCCACCTTCTATCTCATGGCTTTACATGGCTGTCTTCCTGCCTGTAATGCACATCCTCCTCACTTTGACTTCTTAGACGCCCTAGATTTTAAGTGATTCCTCTTTTTTTTTTAAAGGCAATTGGGGTTAGGTGACTTGCCCAGGGTCACACAGCTAGTCAGTGTTAAGTGTTTGGCCTGAGGCTGTATTTGAACTCAGGTCCTCCTGACTTCAGGGCCAGTGCTCTATCCACTGTGCCACCTAGCTGCCCCTAAGTGATTCCTCTTGCTCCAAGGTTTTTCTTACCTTTCCCACTCCCAAGTGAATTCTTTGCTAGTCCCTGAATTGCTACAACTTTATCCATCTTCAGATTATCTTGTATTTACTTTTAAATGTTCATTTTCTGTGTCTTCCAATAGACTGTAACCTCCTTGAGGGCAGGACTGGTTTGGGGTTTTGTCTTTGTGTGACCAATGCCTAGCACCATGATTTATGCTTAATAGGTATTTAAATATGTTTTGAGTTAAATGGACTGGAAGGTGGAGGATTCGTTAGGAGGGTGGGTGTTATAGTTGAGGCCATCGAGGACATGAACATTCCAAGCCATTCTGCCATTCCCTGTGGAAGGAGAATCCCCGATCTCCTGCTCCCTGTGGCATCTCCCATACATAGCCTGCAGGCTTGGCCTGTCAGCAGTGCAGCTGTAAATGTGAGAAGATGGCATAGCTAGCCCACCCAGGCAAAAGTCAAGCTCCTGATAAAGGGAGCTAGAGAGCCAGGCTACCAGGCACTCTTACAGCTGTGTGCCATGTCGTGGAGTGCAGAGAATGTTGGGGAGGAATCAAGAGGTTCCCCCCAGCCCCACCCCCACCCTTCCCGGCAGGTGGGAAGCCCAGCCCCGAGGCTGACTCGCTCTGTGATCCTTCTCTGGACCCTCCTCATCTCTTAGTACCTTCCTTGTACAGTCAAATCATACAGCATGTAAATGCTTTGCAAACCTTAAAGCATTAGGTAAATGCTAACTATTAGGATTACAGTAATAGGTTTAGATCTGTAACGTCAGCTCCAGACCTTCCCAGATTCTTATCACATATTTCCAACTGCCTACTAGGCATATTTAGTCTGGAGAAGAGAAGGCTGTGGGAAGATAGAAGTATTTGAAGGGATGTCACGGGGAAGAGAGATGAGACGTATTCTGGTTGGCTCCAGAAACCAGGACTAGGAGCGCATGAAGAAAACTGTATACAGGTGAATTCCAGTCCAGTGTAAAGACCAGTCAAAGGTGTCCAGAGTGAGATAGTGAGCTCCCCATCACCGTCCTTGTCAGGGGAATCACATGGATGAGAAGGTATGGGCTGCACTAGATACTAGATGGTCTCTGAGCTTTCTTCCTGCTCTGACGACATGGACCCCACGGTCCCTTTTTTAGCCCCACATCTCTGATTCTACATGTATCTTGCACAGGAGTGAGGGATCTTATCTATATATTTGATGCTTGGTATTTAGAACTGAAAAGCACCTTAGAGATCATGTTGTCTAAAAGTGTTGTTGATTGTCAGACACTATCTGATGTCCCCAATCCCCCTGATATAGGTGGTCAGAAAGAATAACATTGAGAGTGAGAACTGACATACAGCACTCCAAAGTTTGCAAAAGGCTTTGCTTCCATTATGTCATTTGAATCTCACGCCCACCCTGTGAGATAAGCCCTACAAATACTGTCATTCCCATTTTGCACATCAAGAAATGGGGTGAGACAGATTGTGTAACTTACCCCAGGTCACATTTCTAGTAATATCTGAGGCAGGATTCAGAGCCAGGTTCTCCTGACTCCAAGCTCAGTGCACTAGCCGCTCTGCTAGCTTCCTCTTTGAGCCCCCAGGACCCTTACTGTAGGGATGGAAGGACGGCTTCTGACCCATCGGGTGGGAGCAGCCAAGGTATGCATCCCTCCAGAGATCTCATTCCTGGAAGTCTCCAGTTGAAAGGGATAGGTTCTAGGAAATGGAGACATTGGTGGCTGTGCTGGGGTCATGGGGCAAGTTTGAGCTCCCTTTTGGATGTGCTGTAGCCCCACGCCTTCTCTGTGCCTTTGGTTTGGTTCTAGGTTCCAGTACGGACATCAGTGAAGACTGGGAGAAGGACTTTGATCTGGACATGACTGAGGAGGAGGTGCAGCTGGCTCTGTCTAAAGTTGACGGGTCTGGAGAGGTGAGGCTGTGCTAGGCAGGGAGGGGCCCCCCCCATCTCCTCTTCCAGCGTCTGAGGTATTTTGGAAGCAGCTTCCTCTTCTCCCTTCCCTGCCCACAAAGTTGACTGTCCTGGGGCTAAGAGAACATTAGACATCTCCTTATCCATCACTGGGAAAGCAGCTACAGTGCTGAGGGCCACCCGTGAGTCAGCTGTCCCCTAAGTCCAGCACCCTCCTCTCCCCAGGAGGCCTTAGTCCCTTCATTGGGTCATTCAGTGAGCAGCAGTCTGTGCCCAGCAGGAGGGAACACCACTGAGCTTTCCCCCTCTCATCCCAGGGAGGTGAACGTAGTTGACACTGTGAGATCAATAACAAGGCAAAGGCTAATCAATCTAGTGGGGCTCTGTGGCAGAAATGTACATAGGGGATTCGGGCAAGGGGGGGACTGTCTAATGTTGGGCAGACAAAGTCAGGTGAAAGACCTAAGGCAGGCGACTCTGTGTCCCCCATGCTCCCAGTGAGAATGTTAGAGCCTCATGGGGTCAGCTATGCTTCCTGCTCTTTAGGTGTCCCCGGTTTCTTCAGTGTGAGCCAGGAGGGCCCATAGGTGTGCGTCAGCCCTTTGGCAGTTGGGTGGTTTGGGGATAGGTTGGAGTTGAAAAGTAAAATACAAACGTCCATTTTTTGTTCTCCCCCCTCCACTCCCATTTGCAGCTGGAAGACGTGGAGTGGGAGGACTGGGAATGAGGCAGGAGGGCTTGGAGAGAGCAGCTCCTCCACGCGGGCCCCCACCTCCCTTCTTGGCCTGGTCCTGGATGGCACCATGGACGCTCCTCCATCACCCAATGCTGTCTGTTCCATCTTCTGAGTACACCCCATGCCCCTCTCCTGGAGAGAAGTCTCTTCCGGGGTGATGTCTCTGAGGCCAGACAGTGTCATGTGACCTGTGCCAATTCTTGGATTGGGGGGAGGGGAATCCTACCACCACCACCACCACCACCACTGAAGAGCCCTATTTCTCTGCTGTAAATCCACTGCCCTCAGGCAGTACCTGCAGTGGCCTCCTGTCTGTCTGCCTGCTTGTGTGTGTGGAAGCTAAACCTAGCCCCAGTGGTGCCCTTTGCTCACCTGCTGTCCCCTCTGTGTCCTGTCTTTCAGCTAAAAGAAAGGAGGGGGCAGCTTGTGAAAGCCCCTCTCCTGCCTTAGCACCATTTCCTTCTTTTCTCCTCGTGTCTTTCCCCACCCTACCATAGGTGGCCTTCTTTGTCTGACTCTACTGGTTGGGGGAGCGAAGGGTGACATACATTCACTTGTCCTCTGGGGAATGTGGGGGCTTCCTGTCCCTTAGTAAAAGACTGCTCATTTGTGGGAAATGTCCATGTCTTAGGGGACTCCTCTTCCTGTGCCAGGCCTTTTCTTCTCTCTTCATAAGGCTCAAGTGATCTTTGTTTTTCCGATTCTAAGTAGGTACTATAGCCGCTATTGGGGACCAAATGCTGCCCGCCACCACCATCGCCACAGTCCTGGTATTTCAGAACCACCCCCTCCCCCAGTGCCTCTTTGGTAGCACCAGGCTTTTCTGTCTGTGAGGACACGCTTCTGTGGCCACCCTGAGCCAGGAGGAGCAGCCTTCAAGTTCTTCTCTTGTTCCTTGGTGGGGGGTGGGGGGACCTTCTCCACTCCTTTTCCTTGGAGTCTAGGAAACACACCATGTGGAATGTAACTGCTTCACAAGCAGGAGAGCAGGTACAGTCACAGGCCCTGAGAACCCTCTTCCAGCCTTCGTTGGGTAAGCCATGGGACACCTCCACCCCCACTGCTTCCCCTTGGGGCATGTGTCGTGGGGCCTCCTGACAATATTTGGCTAAATGTCCATGGTTCTGGGGACATAGGGGGCTGCTGTCTTCATGCTCTCTTTGCCTCCTTCTCTGGGTGCGGAGGGGTTTGCCAGGGTTCCTCAACACCCTAGTGCTGCTTCCTGCTGCTGTCCTGTGGATTCATGTACATAGGCCAGTGTGTTTGACAACCATTTTAAAAGGGTCTCCAAGTCATGGGGTAAGGGGAGGGTGGCAATCAGTCATGTTCATCAAGAAAGTCAAGTTGGGGAAAATGCTGAATCTTTCTCTGGGGGTGGGAGGGTGGGGGTTTTCTCTTTGTAATGTTTAGTTTAACCTTTTTGGTTGTTTGTGCAATATTATATATTTTAAATTATAATGCATCTCCCCAGAGCATTTTGTAGCTGGGGAAAAAAAAAAGATTCTAACAGCTGTTAGTTTTGTAATTTAAAAACCCCACAAAGAAACTTTGTCCTGAACCTTTTGCAGACTTGCAGTTAACAGCTATTAAAGACATTCGACATTAGCCAGAGGCACCTGGGGCTTTGTTCTTGTCCCCCTTAGTGATTCTGGTCGGGGGAGGCATCTGGCCCAGCCTGGGCTGCAGTCCCTTTGGGATGGGCAGTGGTTGGAGCAGAGCCTCCATCACCCGGCACTCGGTTTGGGGCTAAGAGAAAGGAACTATTGCAAGCTAGCACCCTGGACTGGGGACTCTGCATGAAGGGGACAGTGGCCTGCCAGGGCCCGTTCTACATACTGCCCAGGAGGCAGGCACCTGGCCCTCGCTGAGACAAGGAGTCAAGAGGCCTTTTCTGCATTATTCCCAATGCTTCTGCTTTTATTTGGAAAGGAAGTTGCAACAATGGCGTAGATCCAATAGTTCTGGTAACTTTTCTCCTCCTCTTCCTCCTCCTCCCCCAGGTGTGTGCTTCTGGGGTCTATTTTAATTTACTTTAGTTAAACACCTGTCGTATAAAAATTCACATTGGGTGTGATAAATGGGAGGTATGAATGAAGCCCTTGGTTCCATGAAGGTCTTTTAAGGGAAAAGAGAAAGGGGATGGGGATGAGTTTTATAGGATAAGCAAACGTAAAGTGTAAAATATATATCACCATTTTAGAAGCAGACTTTGGGTTTTCTTTCTCCCCTGCTTTATTGGGGAGGACTTGCTATTGCTTTTATCAAGTGTTTGCTAGCCATGGATGCCAACTAACTTCTTCGATTGAAGGCCGGAGGATCATGTCTGGTTCTAGGAGCCTCTTGAGCAGGTCCTGGCATTCAGCTGAGACGCCCAGGTGCCCAGGGAAGGATACCCCCTTCTGCTGCTGCCACAGCATCTTGGGGATATCTGTGTCATCAAAGGGCAGGCTGGCACACAGCATGACATAGAGGACCACGCCCATGCTCCAAACATCGCCCTTCTTGCTGTCATGGGGGATGCCCTGCAGCACCTCTGGGGCAGCGTAGGCTGTGCTGCCACAGAAGGTCTGGCTCAGCTCCCGCCGCGTCTTGGGCAGTACCTTGGCAAAGCCAAAGTCAGTCAGCTTCAGGTTGTAACCCTGCAGCAGGGCGTTCTCACACTTCAGGTCTCGGTGGGCCACGCCACAGCCATGGCAGTAGCGGATGGCCTCCACCAGCTGGCGGAAGAGGGCCTTCGCCCGGCTCTCGGGCAGAGGCCCACCGTGCAGTACACAGTCAAAGACGTCTCCCCCCTCGGCCAGCTCCATCACCAAGTAGGTCTTGCTGTCGGCAGACTCCAGCATCTCATACACCCGGATGATGTTCTTGTGATCCAGGCTGCGGACGATCTGGAGCTCGCGCGGCAGGAACCTCTGGATAAATTCTGTGGGGAAGGAGAGAGAAGAATAAGGGACGAGCAGTAAGACAGGACGGTGATGCACAGGACGTGGAAATGCAGTCCCTGCCGTGCTGCCCCAACTTCATACCGTGCTTGCCTAGAGATAGGCTCTCTTCACAGCTTGTCTTCCCCTGGTTCTCACTGCTTCTGCTTTCCAAAGCCCTCTCACGTGTACATCAGTGGGGAGGACAGGAGTTATACAACCTCTCTAAGCCTCAAATGTCTTAGTCTGCAAAATGGGAGCTTCTTATAACTGAAATTTTATGCATCTAGGAAAGCAGCATGGCGCTGATAGGCCCAAAGTAGTCCCAACTCTGCCCTGGAACTAGCTATGTGTTGACAAACTACTGCCCCTCTCTGGGAGTCTGTTTCTCCTCAGTAAAATCAGGAGAGATTGGTCCAGCTGTAACCATCTATAGGAGTCCCTGCACTTCCTACACGAGGTGGTTAGGAGGATCAGCCTGGAGGGACCTTGGCCCTGGAAAGCACTTTAGAACCTGCCTGTGAAGTCCTATATAAATGTAAAGTGGTGGCATTAGCCCAATTTTATACATGGGGAAACTTGAAGGAGACAGTAGACCGAACCCAAGGTTATATACACACACATTTATCGTTTCTTCAAGACCAAGTGCCCAGTCCGATTCTTTTCCATTAAACTGGCCTAGTCCTCTCCCTCCCATTTACTGCTTCTTCGAGCCGCGGGTCCCTCTGCTTCTAGGACCCTTTGGAGCACAGGGGCCCTTGGCCACATGCTCGACACACCTGATCGGATGCACTAAGGGTCGAGAGGAGCTGCCACCTTGGCAGCGCAAGTTAGAACGTCTGGTAACGCCGGAGCCTCCGGCCAAGACGTGCGTGAGCGGAAGAGCTGTACAAAAGGAGCCAGCCCCCCAGCTCCACCTGCGTTGTGCACGTCCATCCTCCCCGCCCCGCCCCGTCCCGTCCCGTGGGGCAGGAAGCCACGGTTCCAGGCCCCTGTGCCTCGTCGGGGCTGGAGGATCAGCCTGCAGGCCCCCTCCCCTCGCCCGCCCGCCAGTGGGAGTCCTCCGACAGGGGCAGGTGAGGGAGAGAAGGCCTTTTCTCACCTTCTGGCCCTCCCATCTTGTCTATAATTTTAATTGCCACTTTTCTTTGATGTTTTTTGGAAAATGCTTCCTTCACTTTTGAATAAGTCCCTTCCCCAATGGTCTTGCCCAGTTGGTATCCATTGGAGAGCAGAAAGTCCTCCATGCTGTCTCTCCTCCTTCCTTCCTTCCCCGTCACCGCCTCAGCTCATCCTGCCTCTGCGAGGCAGCGCTACTCCACCATCGCCCTCGGCCCGCGCCTCTCCCCCCCAGGACTTCATCCGCAGCCGCCCCAAGCGCTAGAACATTCTCCGTCCGGACACAGCCGCGGGTGGGGAAGGGGGCGGGGGCCGGACATTTTTAAGCTCGGGCCCCGATTATGATGTAAACTGATGTGGCACAAGTGACCAGGGGGTGGGGAGGGCGGTGCTGCCCTGGCTACCAAAATGGGCAGTGCCCCCCTCCCCCGCCCCCTCGGGCCCCGCATTGTCACCATCGCCCAGCCAGCGGAGAGCTGCGGCTGGGCCAGCCCGTGCCTCGGTGTGCGCCTGCAAGAGCAAGATCGCGGGCTGCCGCCGTCCAGCCGGGCCCGAAGCCGAGCGGAGTCCAGCCGCGCCGAGCCGTGCCGTGGCAACGCCTATGCCCGACCTAGAGGCCGCTCGGCGCCCCTGCAGTGTGCACAGTCCTGGGCCGGCCGCCCCCAGGGCCCCGCGTCCCTCCCGCCACGACCAGCCGCGGCCCGACCGAAGTGGCGGCCCGACCCGCGCCGTCCCGCCCGAGCAGTGAGGGTTCCCCGAGGGGAGGAACGGGCCCGGGGCGGGCCGCGGCCCCCCGCTACTGTGAGGTCAGCGCGCCCGCCCCGTGGGTCACAATGCAGCCCGCGCCCTCGACGGCCCGGTCCCGCCGCGCGCCCCGCCCCGCTGCACCAGACACCTGCCCGGCTACCCCTGGACCAGAGCGTCCTCCCGCGGCCAGGGCTCGGGCAGCTGTTTCCCGCCTGGGACCGGCTCCGGCCTCCAGCAGGTGAGAATCCCGGGGGCCGGAGCGGGCGGGGACGAGAGCGGCGGAGCGGCCCGAGGGCCGGGACGGGACTGAGGGCAGCGTTGCTCCCCACAGAGCTTCCCGGAGCCCGGACATGAGCACCCAGGAGCCCCCGCAAGGTCGGAGATTCCCCATTGAGGCCGGAGACTCCCCCGGCCTGGCCGCAGCCCCCGAGCCCCAGGACAGCGCGGAGCCCGTTGCTACGGAGCACCCCCCGGTCAGGTGAGGGACGGAGGGGCAGCCCGAGCCCGGGGCGGCTGTGGCTCGCTCCCCTCCCCCCGCCCATCGTCGCATAGGACTTAGAACTGGAGGGGAAGGGGGAGATCATTTAGGTCCACCCATGCTCGGGTCCCTATTTGGCAGATGTGAAAACTGAGACCCAGGAAGGGCTGGGCATGGAATCGGGATTCGAACTTGGCGCTCCCGACTCCAAATGCAGCCGTACTTGACTCTTTCCTAGGCCTGGAGGTTCTAACCTCCAATTTCTATACCTTCCCCTCCTTCCTCGCTCCCCCCCCCCCCCCCCCCCCCCCAGCCGGCCCCCCCCCCCCCGCCCCGGCTGCCCCCGCCTGACGCTGCTGCACGTGCCCATCGACGTCTACCTGGCAATGGGCGGAAGCCCCCGGGCCCGCGCCACTTGAGTGCGCCTGCGCGACGGCTCCGAGGGGGCCAGGCAGGGGCGGGGCCGGCCGCGGGGACACCGCGCTGAGGTCGCGCGCGCCGAGCACGAGACAATGATGCACATTTTAAAATAAAAGAATGATGCACATTTTAATAAAAGCACAGCTTACACTGTTCTTTACACTCCGGCCTGGCTGCGTGTGTGTGTACGTCTGAACGTCTGTCCTTAAGCCCTGCCACCCGCCCCTGAAATTCAATGCAATGTCATGCAATGCCATTCAGCAAACATTTAGTAAGCACTCGCTGTGTGCAGGGCTTTGTGCTCGGCGAGGAGTATGCCGAGGCAAACGTGTGAAACGGTCCCTAAAGGAGCTTTTCAACCAAAGCGGGGTGGGCATGAGGGACGACACTGGGGGTGCCCTAGAGAAGCAAACCCTGGGGTAATTGGAGGGAGGAGAGAGCGCTAGCAAAGACGGATGGTTATCAGGGAAGGCTTCCTAGCAGTGGTAGCACCGGAAGTGACCTGGTGCCATCCCCTTAGAATAGCGATTCTCAAATATGGGGGGAGGGTGCCCTTAGGGTCTGTAGGTCCCTTTCAGGGGGTCTGAGAGTCAAAACTATTTTCATAGTCTTACTAAAACTTAATTTCTCAAAAAGGTCAATATTGATAACTGTAACCCACATAAACAAAAGCTGGAATGAGGAGAAAGGCCCACAGTAATTTTCAAGAGTGTAAAAGGGTCCAGAATGTCTATCTAGGAAGATAAAGACTCTGAGAGAAAGAAGGAAGAAAGAGGATTCCAAGCCTGGGACGCAGCCTGGACAAAAGCTTGGAGGGAGGGGGAGATGCTGAGGAACCAGTCAGTGGGGAGGTTAACGGAGATGTAATATGAAATAAAGCAGACAAAGTAAATGATAGTCTTTGCTCTCTTTCTCCTTCCCTCCTTCTAAAACCTTTTCTCATTCCCTTTTTCTCTTCTTTCCCTCCTTTATTTCTTCTGGTTTTCTTCCCCATGCCAGAACTTGGTTCTGATTCTTAATAAAATTCTAGAACCTGTTCACCAAGAAGGAAGTGGTCAGTCATTACAAAGAACCAGACCACAATGCTGGCCTGACTAACCTCATTTCCCTTTTTGACCAAGCTATTGGACTGGTAGGACCAGAGGAATGCTACAGATAAATATCATAGCATTTGCCAAAGTCCTTGTGGACTAGATGGTAATGTGATTAGATCAATTTGGAACTGGCTGAATAGAGTAGCCATCCATGATTTGACATCAAAACATTTTGACATCAATAGGAAGGTCTCTAGTGGCTGGCAGGTGGAATATTTAAGGAATCTGCTTGAGCCTGTGCTCCTTTAAATTTTAATAACCCAGATAAAGGCTGATCACATTTTCAGGGGGCGAAAAAACAACCCACTGGATGACAGATGCATGATCCAAAAATACATTGACAGGTTAGAACACTGGGCAGTCATACTTGTATCAAAAGGTGGGGAGTATATATTGAGAAAACAATGTAAGTTTTTAATGTAAAGCAATGTAACTGGCATTAATCTATTTGTAACTTTAAAAAAATGTTGGTGGTGACAGTGGGATGAATGCAAAGTTCTACAGTGAGGTTCAAAAAATCAATGTCACAGGTAATGATAATAGTAAAAGCTTAGGTTTATCTAATAACACTTTACAGTTTACAAGGTTCTTTAGACCTCTTCTCTCATTTCATCCTCACAACAATCTTCCGATGTGTTATTATTTTCCCTCCATTTTATTGATGAGGAAAATAAAGCTTAGAGAAATTAAGTTAAAACTTTCCCAGTGTCATGCCAAGATATGAGAAGAACAATGAAAGATATAACTGTCTTCCAAGTATTTGAAGGGCTCTCTTGAGGCAGAATTGGACCAACAGGTGGAAATTGAAAAGCTATAAATGATGTAGGTATCCTAACTCAATATAATCATAACAATAGAACTATCTCCCCTAATAAAATAAACTTCTATGCAAAAATATTTATAGCGGTACTTTTTGTTGTGGCAAAGAACTGGAAATGGGTGCTTGCCAGTTGGAGAAATTATAAAGGAGATGGTTTCTGAGAAACCTGGTAAAATTTGTATAAACTGATGCAGAGTGAAATGAATGGAACCAGGAGAACAATGTATCCAGTAACAACAACACTGTAAAGATAAGTAACTTTGAAAGACTAAAGAACTCTGATCAATGCCATGGCCAACCATGATTCCAAATTCTAGAATACCAGTGTTGAAGTGTGTCTAATGTAGGAATTTGTTTTGCTCAACTATTCATATTCGTTGCAAGGGTTTTGTTTGTTTTTCTTCAGTGGAGAAAGGAGATGAGAGAGAGAGAGATGGAGAGACAGAGAAAGAGAAAGAGAGAGAAAAAGGAGAGAGAGAAAGAGGAGAGAGAGAGAGAGAGAGAGAGAGAGAGAGAGAGAGAGAGAGAGATGTAATTGGAAAGAAAATTACAAGAAAATGAAATTGGTTGCCTTGGGAGGGATTTCCCTATCTAGAGGGAGAGGTCTTCAAACAAAGGCTGAATCATCCTTTGTTAGGGATGTCAAAAGAGGGACTCCTCTTTAAATAAAGGTTCGGCTAGATCACTTCTAAGGTCCCTTTCTGCTATGAGGTTCTGTGACTATCTCCCTCTTCATTCTACCTCCTTTCAACTTTTTTTTACCCATTTTCCTATCTTCTCATCTTGCCGGTTTCTTCTCTCCTTTTTCCATTCCCACTTTCCCTTCCAAGTCCTTCATTCATGCATATATTAAGTCCTGGGCAATGGAGATAGAGGCAAAGACAATCCCTACCCTAAGAAATTTTCCTTTTCCTCTCTCTTCTTTTCCCCTCCCTATCTCCTCCCATCTCTTCTACCTCTTCTCTTCCATTCCCTTTTTCCCTCTCTATCTTCCCCCTTTTTCTAATATCTCACTCTCCAAATCTCACCTTGCCCTAGATTCAAGTGAACTCTTCTGTTCTTTAGCCCTTCCCCTCTATTTCCCAGGATTGGGCTGTGGAGTTTTCTGCCCTAGTACTTGTGTTCCAAGATGGGACTAGACATTTGGAAGTGCCCGGAGGAATGGGGATGACCTAGGAGGAGAGAAATATCCCCTGTGACCGCAGTGGGGCGATAGGGAGCCAGGGAGGCCTGTCGTATGGGTCAAACCAGCTTGATGTCATATCCCCAGGGGATTCCCTCCCCAACCTCCCCTCCCCCACCACCTACAAACTTCCCAGCAGTTTGGCCCGGGGCCAGAAACGGGGGGAGGGATGTTGGAGTGAGAGAGGACCTAGACCAATTAACTGAAGGAATTGGGAACCTGGCCCAAGAAAGGGGCTGGCCCGGGTGATCCCCGGCCAAGGAAACTCCCCTCTCCCCAGACCTGACTTGGAATCTTAAGGACTTAAAGATATAATAATCACACAATCATAATCTTCCAGAACCTGAAAACCATCCATCACCCTCCAAGAGTAAAAGGTGAACGCTTAGCATAAGTGCCAGAAGAACTGAGGTGTCCTCATAGCCCAGTCCAGCTCAGCCCCTGATCTGGACCTAAGTGTTCTCCTCTGGAGAGTGGGGAGATGTTCTGAACGACCCCCAACCACCTCAGCCCTAGAAACCTCAGCTATTCCCTTCCCCTCCCTGTTCCCCCGACACAAACGTGTCCACTTTCTTTTTCATGATCTCACTGCCTTTGTTTCTCCCTGTCCCCTAGTACTCCCTAGTTAGAACCCCTCCCCCTGCTCTTTTCTGACTAGAGACCCCCATTTCTAAATGGGGGGCTGCACAGATGGAGGCCCAGTTACCATAGTAACAGCAAGGAAAGGGGTTTCTGTGTCGCCATAGCAACTTCAGACGTCAGACCTGTGCCCTTTCCTATCACCCACTGAAGGGAGGTAGGAGGGAGGGGGTGGAAATGGGGGAAGGGGGTTTTAGGAGAAGGGGAAACAGGCTGCCTCTTCTCCACTCATTCCCAGCCATGTGCAGCTGGGGGTCAGACCCAGATTTTTCTTTCTAACTCCTCAAGGCTGTAGGAACCTATATACACTTCCTCTCCCCTACCATCCCTAGGGGGTCGCTAGGTTCCTGCTTCCACATTTGTTCAGCGAACCCGAGGGACAGTTTGGCCTAGAAAGAGATGCCTTCCATCCCCACTTGGGGAGATTTCAAGGTTTCCCTGTATTAGGGTCAGGGGATCTCAGGGTTTGAGTTCTTAAGGCCAAAAGGTCTTAATTAACAAGAACCATAGATTTGGGGAGTCTGGAAGCTTTAGGGTCAAAGGATCCAGTGTCTAGGGTCTCAGGGTCCAGGAATTTCAGGGTTGGGGTACCTCATGATTGGGCTGGGGGTCTCAGAGTCCAGAAGTCTCAGAGTCTGGGTTCCCAGGTTTGGCGGAGCTCTGTCTAGATGTCTTATAATTGGATTGTGGTTCAGTCATGTCTGACCCTTTTCGACCCCCTTTGGGGTTTTCTTGGCAAAGATACTAGAGTGGTTTGCCATTTCCTTCTCCAGCTCATTTGACAGATAAGGACTGAGGAAAACAGGATCATCCAGCTAGTAAGTGTCTGAGGCCAGATTTGAACTCAGGAAGAGTCTTCCTGACTCCAGGTCCAGTATTCTATCCACTACACCACCTAGCCACCTTTTATAGTTTGTAGATTAGCTGCTCAACATTATAGAGGGTCTCAGAATCTGAGTAGTGCCAGGGTTAGATAGTCTCAGGCTTTGGAAGGTCTCAGGACATAAGTATGGTACAGTTAAAGAGTATCAGCAGATGGAAATAATACAAGTTTGGGAGTCTCAGGGGTAGGGATCTCTGTGTCATGGGTCTTGGATCTAGTGGTCACAGGGCTGATGGTCTCAAAGTCTAAACATTTCAGGACTGGAGGTTTCAAGGCTAGGGCAGAGTCTGAAAGGACCTTGTGTTTCTAGGGGGTCTGGGTTGGAAGTTTTTAGGGTTGGGTTGCCAGACTCAGGAGTGTTCAGCATTGGGGGTCTCAGGATCTGGGGTTCCTAGGAT